TCTATCTTTCTGAGTTCATCAAGGACTAACTAAATTTGGCTCAAAAAAATTTTAGACAATTTTTATACCAGGCTAGAAATAGATAATGGGACAATTTCGGATTGCTTATACTGTCAACATTTTGATGCTTCGGAGGCGATTACATTGTTACTTTATGACTCTTTGATATTGGCAGGGAAGGTATGTCAAACGAACCACGCCATTGTGCATCACAAGGGAAAGCGTCTGTATTATCAGGGGAAAACAATTTACCCAACTTTACGTACTCCGAGGGCTAGTGGTACTATATCTGGATACTCGTACAGCCCTTATCCGCGTGCAATTAGCTCTTCAGATACAAACATTCGGAAGGCAACGTATAGGGTGCGTGATGAAGGTGAAAACCCTCATCTAATTTCTCTGCAATCTAGTATAAGGTCTCAGAGCATCATTACTAAACAAATACTTATAGGAAGTCGTAAAAGGTATCTTTCTTCGAATCACTTTTTTAGAAGTTATTTACAATCAAGAAAGCTGGCTAAGCTTGATTACGGGAAATATCATAAGTATAAACATGCTAAGGTTAACAGGACCTGTGCTTATTACAAGTCAGAGGATAATGACATAACAGAATCAGAGGTGGACTCACTCACATCAATAGAGGGGTCAAGTGGAGCTGTTTTGGCAGCTGGAAGTGTGCGTCAATTATCTTCTTGGTGGGAGATTCCTAAGCGCTGGGTGATTGTACTCCTTTGTTTTACAGCATTCCTATTGTGCAACATGGATCGTGTGAGTATTTTTCCGTTTTTCATCAAAGTGCATATATGTTGTTTGAAAGGTTCAAGATATATATACACAATGATACATACATATATATATATATATATATATATATATATATATATATATAGCCTCTTTCCTCACAACAGATACTCTTGTGTAATTAGTGACAAGGTGTCTTACGCTACCAAGCCAATTTCTTTCAAGATTAAATTATTTTCCTATATGGTAGTAACCTTGATGTTACATCATCATTAAACATAAGCATTTCAAAACTCGAAAATCTGTTTTTAAGGTGTTGGTTTTTTAATGTGATACATCTCAATCAGCTAACAATGTTAAAATTTTATATTCTAGGTAAACATGAGCATTGCAATACTTCCCATGTCACAGGAATTCAACTGGAATAGTGCCACAGTCGGCTTGATTCAGTCCTCTTTTTTCTGGGGTTACCTACTTACTCAGGTTTGACTAAGTATACTAACGTGTGTGCATTACTCAAAGATAAATTACACCTTAATTCTCAATCTCCTCAGAGATCATTAGCGGGCATCTAATCATGATTGTATTCTTAAATGGTTTAGGGATACTGTTTTATTACGAATAGTTGGCTCTGCATATATTTTGTGTTCAAGATACATATATGATACATGCATATATCTCTATTTCCCATGCAGATGTGCTTAGATTTCTACTCTCAGTTCTCCTGTATGATCGTATTAACTTTATGATTGCTCTTGTATATAGATTCTTGGAGGCATTTTGGCAGATAAAATTGGTGGAAAGCGTGTATTGGGTTTTGGAGTGATCTGGTGGTCAGTAGCGACAATTTTGACACCTATTGCAGCAAAAATCAGCCTTCCATTTTTGCTTATCATGCGTGCTTTCATGGGGATTGGTGAGGTCCGTCTTTTCTAGTGCTTTGCTTCGGATCTCTAGTCCTTTCCGACTTCGACTCTGCATTGTAATATTAATTGAAGTTTTTACCTTTTCGTTTAGGAATTGGCTTGGAATGTATTATTCAGTTTAAGAAACAAGACAGGAGTAAAATAAATAACCTAAAACGATTACCACTTAAAACTTGTATTTGTGTGACAGGTTAATTTCAACACTAATTGTATCATTTCACTTTGGTAGTTCAGCACGCAGAACTTTTCCTTCAGTTTTTATGTATAATTATTTAAATTTTCTCATTTGAGTTATTGTATCTCAGCTTCCTTCTTGAAATAGGATTTTTTTTCTCTTGGTAATTCAAGCAAGGGTTCTCATTGCTGAACAAATTTTCCTTTTTCCTTGTTCATTCACAGGGTGTCGCTATGCCTGCTATGAATAACATACTCTCTAAATGGATTCCAGTGTCTGAGAGAAGCAGAGCACTTTCACTGGTATATACTGGCATGTACCTTGGTTCTGTCACTGGGTTGGCTGTCTCTCCGATTCTAATCCAGAAGTTTAAATGGCCATCTGTGTTTTACTCGTTTGGCTCTCTTGGTAGTATCTGGTTGGCCTTATGGCTGAATAAAGTAAGATCTTGCTTCCTTCAACATTTGAAATACTTGAATTACCTTGTCTACTCTTGATTAGGATAGACTATATGGATCATAGACAAATAAATATTATCATATCTCCAGGCTGTTAATATGTTCTTGTTTGAGCCGTGCTATATCCAGTAATTTTTTCCCTTTCATTTCCGGGATTATGTGAATGAACTGCTACCGAGTACTGAGTCTACATTTTAAAAGTAAAAGTGTACAGAATTATTATCACTTGTCTTTTGAAATATAAAATCATATACACTAATTGTTTCTCATGCCCATTCGTCGTACGTAACTGGTGATCTTCTCCTGACACCATGAAAATATATGAATGAAATGCCATGAATGGCACTTCGGATGTTGTTCCATTAAAGTTAACTCTAGAACATCTTCTTTATTGTTGTATCACTAGGCATATAGCACACCAAAAGAAGATCCGGAGCTTAGCGCAGAGGAAAAAGAGCTTATCATGGGTGGAAACATATCTAAGGAACCTGTTAAGGTCATTCCTTGGAAGCTAATATTATCAAAACCACCTGTTTGGGCTCTTATAGTCTGCCACTTTTGCCACAATTGGGGAACATTTATTCTATTGACATGGATGCCAACATACTACAATCAGGTTTGGAATCGATTCCTCCAAAATTGAGCATACAGGCACTCATATGCATAGGAAACTAAAAGTAATGTCTCACGCGAAACCTAACCGCATGCAAAATCAACAATTTTGACCCAAACCAGAAGCAGATTTAATGTTAATCCTATCAATAAATTGTTGAGTCACTAAAATCTTTTTACATTGTCTTGCATCTTCAGGTTTTGAAATTCAACCTCACTGAATCCGGGCTCCTCTGTGTCTTGCCATGGTTGACAATGGCTATTTTTGCAAATATAGGAGGCTGGATTGCAGATACACTTGTCAGCAAAGGTTTTTCTGTAACGACAGTTCGTAAGGTAAGGACTAAAATAATTCTTGAATTATTAAATGTGTGGTCAGGTGCCGACTTTCCTGTTTTGCGTTTCTTAAGATTTCTACAAATCCGTTTTCTGTTGACAGATCATGCAATCAATTGGGTTTCTGGGACCAGCCTTTTTCCTTACGCTGCTGAGCCGTGTCAAGACACCCGCAATGGCAGTACTATGCATGGCATGCAGTCAGGTAAAAACCAGTTGTTATCAATTTGACCGAGCTTGAATATGTGGTGTTTGGTAAGTATTAGTCCTACGATTATCTGTTCACACGTTCTTTCTTATTGACAGGGATCTGATGCATTTTCACAATCGGGTCTCTACTCCAACCACCAAGACATTGGACCTCGCTATGCTGTGAGTTGCTATCTTATGAAGTTATAAACCTATGGCTACTTGACGAAATTTTTCCACTTCGGAGTTTTGTGGGGAGCAATTTTTCGTTATCAATTTTTAGTCTATTAATTTAACAAGGTTATTTGTGCTTTCAATCCCTTACCAAAGAACTAAACAAGTAATCAAATTGTCTGAATCCTGTGCAATCAAACTTATAAATACAATTACAGGGAGTATTGCTGGGACTCTCAAACACAGCAGGAGTTCTTGCTGGTGTCTTCGGTACAGCTGCAACCGGCTACATACTCCAACGAGGTACAATCAAATGCTTTACTTAATTCAACCTCTCCTGAATTCGCTTTTTGCGCTCAAGTTCCAGTTTCCGGTTTCCAGTTTAGTATTGACTTATTGAGCTTCAATTCTGCAGGCTCTTGGGATGATGTATTCAAGGTCTCTGTTGTATTGTACATCATGGGCACATTAATCTGGAACTTATTTTCAACGGGGGAGAAAATTATTGACTAGAGAAACGCAAGAACAGAAGGGACGGAATTATGACAAGATGGAAGAAACGCAAACACATGAAGGGAAATCTGGCTAAGCGAACTAGCTTTTAAACATCGCCATCGATGGTTTTATAACAACATATGAGGCCCTCTCTGGGTGGGCTTAAGACCCCGCTTTTTACAGGTTAATGCCTTGTTTCGTTTCAGTAAATGTCTCGTAATGTAGAGAAGTTATGGGTAACTTGCACCCATGAACCTTTTACTTTGCCCATACAATGCTAATACTTCGTCATCCACCTGAGTTGTTTCTTACTGAAATTCTCCGCAGTTGGATTCACATGCAATAGTAATGCTGCTCGCATTATACCGATTAAATCGCAGATTTGTGATTGGAATTTTCGTTTAGCTGTTAATTTCTTTCCTAATTATAGTTCACAGATTAATCAGAAGAAGAAAGAACGAGAAGCATATGTAGGCCCTTTTTATCTGGAGCTGGCAGGGCCAGGCATTTCCATCCATCATCCACATTCAAGTTGATGGAATATAAGAACCAGCTACATCTGTCTTTCTGACTACCTACATTGGGTCACAGTCACAGACAATAATAGCCTCCATCTTATCTCCCCTTTTAATTGCCATAATTGCCATAAGCTCAAGACTTGCTGCTCGTCGCTCAAGTGGTTAGAATCACAAGAGTTTACCTCAATGGTTGATTGATTATATATAATAATGCATGTATAAAAAGTTGCGCTAATATCAAATGGTTGATCATATAAACTTTTCTTAACAAAGCAATATACTCTAAGCTACTAGACGTGAGTTCAAACTTAATGCAAGAAAGCGATACGGGATGTCTCGTCCAGTTCAAACTTAAGTGCAAGAGAGCGATACGAGATGTCTTGCAAATGAATGGTAATAAATATTGATAAAAGTAATTTATGAAATCCGAACAAACAAGAACTTAAAGAATATTAAATGTAAATAAAAATTTGCAAAGCTTTTTGCTTACAAGGGAAAGCTACCACAATGGGCTTTGCTTACCAAATTCCCATTATACCCCTGAGTCCCCTCCCGTTTCCCATGGGTTCCACCACCCCAAAAATTAAACACCCTCTTAAGCCACCCAACCACCACTCCACCGCCACCGACGCCGTTACATTTAACGGCCACACTCTTGCTCTTCCCCTTGCAATTATCCCTCCATTGCCATCTCCTTTTCAATGCTTGACACAATTGCCCCCAGCTCCCTTTTGTGCACATTCACCATGAGTCCATACTTCATGAACAACGTCAACGACATCTTTTGCTCCACCTTGTGGCCCGGCACCACCGTGAGACGGTGGCTGAGCAAAACTGACGCGGTTACCGACTTCATTTGCAAGTAAGCCAAGTCCTTCCCTAGACATATTCTTGGACCGGCGTTGAATGCTACAAATTTATTTGAGTCATGCATTATGAACTTACCATCGGGAGATAGCCACCTCTCCGGACGAAACTCCAGGCAATCGTCTCCCCACGTCGATTTCATCCTCCCCGTCGCATATATGGAATACGTCACCGACGATCCGGCGGGCACGAATGTGCCATCGGGCAAAACGTCGTCGTATACCACATGCTTTGAGTCCTCCGGTACGGAAGGGTACAACCTTAGGCTCTCGGACAACGCTGCCTTAAGGTATATCAATCGGTCAATTTCCTCAAATTCTAACGGCTCGTCCAACCAATTCGTCACATCATTACCACGTGTCTCGATCAGAACAGTGCAAATTTCACGGAGGATTTTCTCTTCAATTACTGGATTAAGAGTGATCAACCAAAAGAACCAGCTCAACGCGGCCGATGACGTGTCGCGTCCAGCTAAGATGAAATTGAGCGCCACGTGTTGGAGAAAAGTGTCCGAGTAGTTCTCTTTTTTCTTCATGAACCGTGACAACAAATCATCGTGTGGGTTCCCATCTTTTTGCTGACTCAGCAACTCGAGCTTACGGGATGCAATCACATCGGATAAATACTCCTCAATATGCACAAGGCTTCGGCTCAAGGTGACTTCCATTCCAAGCCCAAGCCACTTTTTCACCTTCCACAACACCTCGGGCAGAATAAACCGCTGCAGCGAGGCTTCGGTGGCTCGGTCGAAGGCTGTGGCAAAGCCGTTGTCGGGAAGACCTGGGGCGCACGTCTGCGGATCCTTTCCAAAAGCCAAGCCGCATATGTTATCGAAAGTAAGCCGAAGTAACAAGTCTTGGAGATCAACCGGCTCCGCTTGAAGCTCAGCCGACTTGAGAATTGGGCAGAACCTTAGCTTGATGGCTCGGCTGACCCACCGAGCCATGGCCTGGCGCAGCGTCCGGGTCGTGAATTCCAGTGCGGCCGTCTTCCTCTGAAACAGCCACGTGTCGCCATCCGAGTTGAAGATGCCCTCGCCCAACAGCTCGTGAAACACGGATTGCCAGGTGGGGCCCTTGGGATAGTTGTCGAACCGGGTCTTGAGTATGTGCTCCAGATTATTCGGGTCGCATGTGACGGTCACGAGGCCTTGCTTTTTCGCGAGGAAGGGGATGGCACAGATGCAGGTTTGGTACGTCCCGCCGCAGGCGCGTAGGTTGTCACAGATCCAGTCGTGCAACCGGTCCGAGTTTTCGATGAGACCCGGGAGACTACCCAGTAACGGCCAGACACGTGGACCCTTTAGCGACCGTGAGATGAAGGTGAACCAAAGGAGGTAAGCCGTGATCGCCGTCAAAACCAGCAACGCCGTCCCAATCTCCATATTTTACTTGTCCGCCACGTAATGGTAAACCAAACCCAAAAACTCAGAAAACGGCGATGCAAAATCCGCACTCAATCACTGAACCAGATACCAGCAAGCAAACCCAGAACCTGTTTTCCTCCAAAATATTTTCCCGAGAAAATGTTGTTTTCCGGGAAAGTTGCTTTATTGGTGTGAGTTAATGTGAAGAAGTGGAAGAAGCTACTGCAAAACGTACCTTAGAGAAAAACCCAGGTAGGGAGTTTCATGAATGTTTGAGAGATTTGATTGAGAAAAGGAAGGGACTTTGAAACTTGATGGATCTAAACAAAAAATGGGTAGAGAGGAATAATAATATTGATGATTGATGAGGATTATAAGGTGGTGGTTTGGTGTTGGAGTAGAGAAGAAGCAGGAGAGGAAGCAGAAGATATGGAAGTGGAGGTGTGTGATGTGTGGTAGTACAAAATGGAGTATTATAGAGAGAGATTTATAGGTGAGCAATTTATTGAGGCCAGACTGGTTGACATTGCTCTCTCTCTCTCTCTCACTGTATTTTTCTCTCACTAAAAATTAAGCTACACAGCACAGCACAGGCGCCATAAATTTCTTCAGAAGTCGTTGAACTTTTTAAAGCTCTCTCGCTCAAAACCTCTCTTCTCTCTCTAGAAAACCAGTGGCTCTAGCAAATTAAGATGCCATTCTCTCTCTCTCTCTCTCTCTCTCTCTCTCTCATGTGCACACAAGGAAACACACACACACACTTACACACCTACTTTTACTGGAAATGGAAGAGGAGATTTAATTCAAGAGCTTTGAATGAAGAGGAAAATTTAATGGGATTAGTTGAGGAACTATATACATGTGAGAGAGAGAGATTGAGAGACCAAAGAATAATACCAAACATATTTCCACCACAACAACAACAACAACAACAAAACCTTTTCCCACTAAGTGGGGTCGGCTATATGAATCCTAGAACGTCATTGCGCTCGGTTTTGTGTCATGTCCTCCGTTAGATCTAAATACTCTAAGTCTTTTCTTAGGGTCTCTTCCAAAGTTTTCCTAGGTCTTCCTCTACCACTTCGGCCCTGAACCTCTATCCCGTAGTCACATCTTCGAACCGGAGCGTCAGTAGGCCTTCTGTGCACATGTCCAAACTCATTTTGTGTACGTGTTGATGCTTCACCGCCCAACATTCTGTGCCATACAGCATCGCTGGCCTTATTGCCGTCCTATAAAATTTTCCTTTGAGCTTTAGTGGCCTACGACGGTCACACAACACGCCACGCTTCCACTTCATCCATACAGCTTGTATTCTATGGTTGAGATCTCCATCTAATTCTCCGTTCTTTTGCAAGATAGATCCTAGGTAGCGAAAACGGTCGCTCTTTGGTATTTCCTGATCTCCGATCCTCACCCCTAACTCATTTTGGCCTCCATTTGCACTGAACTTGCACTCCATATATTCTGTCTTTGATCGGCTTAGGCGAAGACCTTTAGATTCCAACACTTCTCTCCAAAGGTTAAGCTTCGCATTTACCCCTCCTGAGTTTCATCTATCAACACTATATCGTTTGCGAAAAGGATATTTCCAAAAAAAAAAAAAAAAAACAAAACCAAACAATGATAAATAGGTCATCCATCCCACACAAGACACAGCTATTGTAAAGTCTAATCGGATCAATAGTGGGTCGAAAACGGGTCACCCTAGCTTGGCCCTTTTTTCTTATAAGTTATGTTCTTTCATTGGAGCTTTATTTTAATCCAATCTAATTTAAAGGGTGTACTTTTATTATTACATAACACTCAAAATTATAGGTGTTTTAATCGTTAAATTTAATGTTCTCAATTGTTAGATTTTTTTTATTTTTAATGTCAGCCATTCATTTTTTGTACTACTCAATGCTACGTCTCATTGAAGAAAAATTGTTAAACAAAAAGAGAATTCGAACTCAGATGCGAAAAAAAGAGCACACTGATTTGCAATTTGACTACACTCACATATACACATGGTGTTTTAAATTTTAATTGGGTCAATATTTAGGGAAAAGGATCCTCACCTAGGGATGGGATCCCATGATCTTGATTGTTCATCGTACATCGTGCGGTCAGTTTTCATTAGGTACTATTTATATTTAATTTTAAATTTTAAATTTTGAAATGATTTCTGATCGCACAATGTATTATGAACGGTCACGATCACGGAATCCCTAGGATCCCCAAGAAAAGGACCAAACGAGGATCCTTTTCCAATATTTAGTAGGTTGAAAATGAGTCACCCTAGCTTAGAGAATTCTCGTGCACAACCAAAACCAAGAACATATCCCTATATAAGTATTTCTATTCTCACGTGACATATACTTATTTATATACGTCAGATTGCAACTTAAAATTCTTCTAACTTAGTACTATGGTCTAATGGTATTCTTCTTCACTTATAAGTGAGAGGTTTTAGGTTTGATTCTCATCAAAGGCGAATTTGAACCACATTATTGCTAGTCCAATTGTTAGACGAAGCTCGCCCCCTCCTCCTTGGTGCAAATTATATCATTTGTTCAAAAAAAAAAAGGACCAGCTGATGGCTTCGCCATGCAATCCACCCTTCTGAGGGTCAATAAAACTCACAGAGGCATTTCAGCCTCCCCTGGCCACCATCGTGCAATTCACTGGCGACAGGAGTCGAACTCAGGACTTGTCGTGTGGAATAGAAGCCTGAAATTCTTCCGAACAACTAGGCCACCCCACGATGGCATGAATTTAAACCTCGTCGTGTTTTCTTTCTTATAATTAAGTTATATAATGAGTCTTGAATTGTCTCTTTGCATGACGGCGTGAATTTAAACCTCGTCGGTGATTAATCTAACATCTAACTTACTAACGCTATAGCCCCACTCAAATAAAAAATAAAAATAAAAAGGTCTTGAAGTTAAATGAGGAAAATGGGGTTCTTCTGGTTTAGGGTTGGTTGAGCAACCCACCCACAATTTAATACCCCAACCTCTCTTTATTTCTTTTTCTTGTGCGATTCTTTTTTCGCTCATTGAGCAGTCTTATTTGTCTTCTCATATAGATATTCTGCAGAGTTCCCCCCAGAGCTAATAGTAAAAACAATATTGTGGGATTCTTCACACACAGGTTTGACCCTCTCAGTTTTAAAGGTGTTCAATCAATGAAACGATCAAAAAATGCGCGCCTTTCTCTGTATATCTGTACCATATATGAAGGAAAAAAGTCAAGCCCCTTATACAATATATTTAGGTCACCTGAATGCAGACCTCAATTTTTGCGCATTTTGGCAGACTATGGCAGTTCATCATATATCGGGATGCATATGAAACCTGGCGTGCTTTGTATTGTGCTCTTGTGCAGCAGTAAGAGTTCACATTCCCTATCCTAAATTGCATTGAATTGAAGGAGGTTTTACAAGTTTTGGACAATTTTCTCTTACCTGACTATCTTATAATAATACGTATGAGATGCATATTGCAACCGAAAATGTATGAGATCATGCATGTGTTGTCCGACCATGAATATGATGGATAGTTCATTGGGTTGATTCTTACTTGAATGCCTTCTAGATTCACAGTTTGGTAATATAGGCATCAGTTCTGTTCTCTTAGACCCTAGGATTCAAGGAAATTACAAGCACTTACATTTCAATCTTAATCAAACGGTGGAGGAGAATAAATGTTCCTTTAGTTTTTGTTGTTTTACTTTTTCCTTCACCATTGGATTAAGATCAAATGGTACATGGTTCCAATTTCCTTGGACCTTAAGGCTAAGAGATCGAATGGTATGTGACCACAATTTCCTTAAACCCTATGGTCTAGGAGAATGGAGTTCCTGCTTATATTACGAAAATGTGAGTGTAGAACACGTTCAAGTAAAAAGAGATGGCCTTAGTATAAGGAGTTTTCTACTTTAAAAGCAAGTTTGACAAGAAAACGTTAGTGTACGCACTTCTACGATCATAAATGTGAATGTGGATGTGCCCTACGTGAGACTATATATCATGCATGTGATCTCATGAAATGGGTTTGTGCGACCTAACCATATATTTTGAAGCATTCCACCATTTAGGTGCTTAGCTAATGACCACGTCGATCATGTGCAATTCTGACAAAGCTTCACTTATTAGCTAGCTAGGTTGCGCATTGTATGTTGAGTACATACTACTACAATGGATTAGAATTTGTAAATAAAACATCCATTGATCATATCACTTTCCTAGAACTGCCATATTTGTGCCAGCTTTCCCCATCCGATTGAGATTATTAATTAGTCGCATGCAAGCTAGTTTGACGAGTAAACCATAAATTGAAGACTATAAGTGTTAATTTTTCGTTTTTTGCGATTGTCATTTTAGTGTTGCAAGTCGCCCTATACCATTATGATGGAGAGAAGTGTTACCCTTGCATCACAGCGTGGGTTTCGAACCCCGTCGATCGTCTCCCTAATGTAACATCTAATTTAACAAATTTATCATTTGCCTAAACAAAACCAAAAAATTCATTTTAGTGTCGAAATCATCAAATAATTTTGTATTGTCGAAATCAATCATTTGTATTTGATAGTGCATGATTCATTGATTATTCGTGTTAGCAAGCCATGGAATTTTCAAGCTCAGTGTAAATGACCAATTGACTTACTAAACTTGTTTATGTCATCTCGAACCATTTCGTGTAAAACTTATCACATTGACCATGCAGTGATTAGATATTCTGCTATCTTACTTTGCACGACTTTCTATATTGATAACTTTTTTAATGGATGATATAGTTAGAGTGCTACTAAGCCCACTCCATTATCTTATTTTTTCACCCACGTTTTAATGAAAATGTTAATGTCATGTTTATCCTTTTAGAAAAAGACTTTTAAATCCCTACCCATTTCTCTCCACCACTGTCTCTCTTCCCCGTTCTTCTCTCTTCCATTTAATCTCTCTCCATCCGAGAGAAAGATCTAGTTTTTCCGGCGGCGGAAGAAGTTCAAGAATCTGCCGACAGCCAGCATTTCTCATTGTTCGTTTCTATGATTTCCAGGGCTCCAATTCCAAATATGTTAATCAATTTGTAGTGTCTTCCAATAAATTTTTAACGTTTTAACGTTTTAATGCATTTTTGAATTGCATCTTCAATTTGATAGCTTCTAGCTCATTTGAATCAAATCTCATCTTTAGAATTTTTTTACTTTCACTTTCACTTTTTGGATTTAATTCTTTCGATTTGAACGAAATAAGTTGAATTGAGGAAGCAGATCTCTTGCTCTCTGTAAGTCTCCAACAAAACCAATGACTGTGGCTTTCAAGGTTGTAAATTTGCACCAGATAAATTTCTGGGTTTGTTCAGTTTGTACTGTTAGAGATTTGCAATCTTGATTTTGGTGTAAAGTTAGTTCAGGGGAAGGGACTGGTGGTGGAAACAGAACATTGGAGATGTGGTGGTATAAAGGTTATTTTAGGAATAATAGTGGGCGGGAAAATAAGATTTAAATTTTTAAAATTTTTATGGTGGTGGGATAATAAGGTGGGTGGAAAAATAGGACAATGGGGTGGATTTAACAATACTCTATAATTAACACTCAAACGAGTCAAATAAAATGAAAACTAATGAAAATTGCTTGAAAACTTTGAGTTTTAACGATAATGACAAAATAAAGAGTAAAGTGAATAGTACCATGTTTGACTTTTTAGTGTAAAAATATAGTTTTTC